AAGTCCAACCATAATTAAACATGAGGAGATCAGATTTTTGAGACCTACACTGCACGTACAATAGCCGCAAGGAGCAACAGAAGGGATCTTCACGAACATCAACTCTCTCCTCTCTTTTCTTCACTATATTTCTTTCTCTTTTCTCTTGGATCATGGAAGCCCTGCGCGGCTAATTCTCTTTTGTTTCGGTTGAACACGATTGAAACCCCGAACTTAATACTGTGAGATCTAATTAGTTTTTATCTATTAATTCATATTTCGTATTAATTGTTTTGTGTGTTTATGCTTATGATTTTGTGTTAGGATCGTAGCCTGATCAACTATTGTCTTGTGCACTTAATCTATTGCTTGGTAGATATTGAGTCGGATTTAGATAATTTATCTATCGTAAGAAGCATCTAAGTGTGGTGATTGACCGGATTTAGGCGTTATCATTCTTAGGCAAAATAATTATACAAGTTAGCATTTAACGGATTAGTTATTTGTTGCTTGTGTTGTCGGGCTCTACTTCTTAATGCTATTGCTAGGATAATTTTACACGATGTTGGGAATTGCTTAGTAATAAGGGTTGTGTAGAAGGATTTATTTTGCATAGCCATTTAGGAGTCAGAATTCATCATGCAACGACATCTACGTATTTATGAGTTGATAATATTTGCATCGAGGATCAGTAGAATAATTCGGGGTGGAAATCAGTTCAACCGGAGCACTTTGGTAATATTTTTTTCATCTTCATCTTGTTGCTTGCGAATCTCTTGTTCAAGAATTGTTTACTATTGCTTTCTTTATTTTCTTGTTAATTAGATAATTAGGATTAAAAACCAATTCTCCCCCATTTTAATCACATAGTTACAGTCATTTAATTATATTATTCCCCGTGGATACGATCCTTGCTCACGCTACTATATATATTCAAGCAAGGTTAATTTGGGTGCCTACGACAGCAATACCACACCTATAAATAGGGGCTCTCCTAAAGCCAAAAACACACCTCATAATTCATATTCAAATTAAAGAGTTCTAGAGAATTCTCTCGACGAGATTCAAGTGTTCTTGAAGATTCAAAGACGTTCTTGAGATTCGAAGCAAGATTCAAGCGCATTCAACCTCAAGACTGGCGTTCAATCCGGAAACAAGCTGCAAAGCCTCCAAATAACATTAGTAAATTCAAAACCGGCGTGAAGAAGATTCAAGATCTACTTTGCGGCGAAGACCAAGGATTCGTGTTCTTCGCGTTCTTGGGATATTCCGACGTTTGATCTGAAATCAAGGCGTTGGCCCTCGGATTAACGTTAATTCAAGTCAAATCAAGTCAAGGAGAAGATCAAGCCGAAGATTTCGCTCCAAGACTTAAAATTGTTCGTGAGAAGAATCAGAGGAATAGTAGAGATTGTAACCCGCTATATTTATTTTGATTCGAGAAATTCATTTGAATAATAATTTTTCGTGTTTATAAATTCAACACACGTGCATATCTTGTGTGCTTGGGAGGAAATAAAACTGAGGGGATTTAGTCTTAGTGCATAAAGATGGCAATTCCTATAAAAGTTTGTGGATTTGGGCCTAAAGTTGAAATAATTGTCCAAAGTCAACTAATTTGCATAGACCATTCATTGGTGCGGTCCACAATTTAATTTCACCATCTTGGATTACTAGCATGCGAATGGGCCTCAAATATTGAACTTCAAGGCTCCAATTACATGGTTAGAATAATTGGGCATTTCGTATTAACAAAAGATTTCGCGACTCATTCACTCCAAGACATGTTGTCCGTGAACAAGTCTCGAAGGGGCATTTGTAAATGCATAAAATTTGTGGCCAATCAAATAGCGCCACGTGCAAATCAATTTATTAAAAATTAAGTCATATTTTCTATTTATATTTTAAGAATTTCCATATATTTAATTCCTAAATTTAAATAGTTAATTAATTGATATTTTAATATTTTAATTCTTGACCAATCAAATATTGTCAAGTGTCAAATCTTAATTCTTGGTAATAAATCACATGTCTTCTAAAGATCTTGGGAGATCTAAGTAGATCTAAAAGATCTTATGTGAATCATCATGGACCAATCAAATCAGGTCCTACGATTCTTAAATTTGGTAGGGTTCTCTCCCCTACACCTATAAATAGGGGCTCTCCCTAAAGCCAAAAACACAACTAATAATTCATATTCAAATTCAAGCGCTCTAGAGAATTCTCTCGACGAGATTCAAGTGTTCTTGAAGATTCAAAGACGTTCTTGAAGATTCGATGCAAGATTAAAGCGCATTCCTCAAGACTGGCGTTCAATCCGGAAAAAAAGCTGCAAAGCCTCCGAATAGTGTTAGTAAATTCAAAACCGGCGTGAAGAAGATTCAAGATCTACTTTGCGGCGAAGACCAAGGATTCGTGTTCTTCGCGTTCTTGGGATATTTCGACGTTTGATCTGAAATCAAGGCGTTGGCCCTCGGATTAACGTTAATTCAAGTCAAATCAAGTCAAGGAGAAGATCAAGCTGAAGATTTCTCTCCAAGACTTAAAATTGTTCGTGAGAAGAATTAGAGGAATAGTAGAGATTGTAACCCGCTATATTTATTTTGATTCGAGAAATTCATTTGAATAATAATTTTTTGTGTTTATAAATTCAACACACGAAATTTGTTGTTATAGTCGCAGAATAATTTTTTCGACTAATAGTAGCAGATTCATTCGCCTAACAAGAATAATTATTTAATGGGCGACGGACCGCGATTGGCCGAATCGTACATCGAATCTACGCATACTCGTCGCAAGGGGGTATGCGAGCAATATGCGGCAATTCGCATACCCCATCTCGTAACTGAAATAACTGAAAGGTGAAAGAAATAAAAAAAGAAATAAAAAATAAACTTTCGAGTAGAAGTGCGAACTGGGGTATGCGAGCAATATGCGGAAATTTGCATACCCCATCTCATAACTGAAAGGTGAAAGAAATAAAAAAGAAATAAAAATTAAACTTTCGAATAGAAGTGCGAAGGAGATATGCGAGCAATATGCGGCAATACGCATACCCCCTCGCATAACTGAAATAACTGAAAGAAATAAAAAATAACTTTCGAGTAGAAGTGCGAGCAATATGCGGCAATTCGCATACCCCATCGCATAACTGAAAGATGAAAGAAATAAAAAAATATTCTACGAAAAAACCTTATAATGTACCAACTCTGCGAATAATATTCGACGTTCATATCTCGCAGAATAACCGACTAATGGTCGCAGATTCATTCGCCTAACAAGAATAATTATTTAATGGGCGACGGACCGTGATTGACCGAATCGTACATCAAATTTCCGCATACTCGTCGCAGAACAGTCGCATACTTTAACTCATAATTTTCTCGCTCATGCTCATACCGGTCGTCTATCTATCGCATAGTTCATCGCATATATCTTCGTACTTTTTGGGGTGAAACACTTAGCTTTTTATTAGGTGGTGTGAAAAACATAGGAGACTTTAAAACGGGGTGAAAATAGCTATTTTCACATAAATAAATAAATCAAAAAATATAAATGTGCAAATAAACTAATTGTATAAAAATATACTATTAACTATATAAAACGCGCACATTCTTCTACCTATCAAATCTCCCATACTTAAACTGTTGCTGTCCTCAAGCAACTTAAAACTATAAACACATAGATGGACAAGAAAACAAATACGTGGAACTTTACTCAGAGTCTCGCAATTCTCACATAAGTGCATAGCTCAAACAACTCGAAATAATTTATTCGGGTTCAAGACGACCGGAAGACGGTAAAACATATCATTAGGGTCTGAATTTTGGCTTAACTCCGGGTAAAATTTCCTTTGGTGCCGTCGCCCACCAAAAATACTCCAACATCCTAAAAGTAAAACATAAAAATATCATAGCACTCAAATCCATCTAATAAATAAATAAATAAAAAAATATAAATGTGCGAATAAACTAATTGTATAAAAATATACTATTAACTATATAAAACGCGCACATTCTTCGAACTATCAAACCTCTTTTTTTTTTTAAATTAATGTGGAACTGTTACATTATACATTAATGAATTGTAATAATAATTTAAATTAATTTATTATGTAATAATTACTACTAATACTAGCTAATTATAAATTTGCATTAAATAGTATGTGAATGTTACATAATTATAAAAAATTGTATTGCACTTTTTTTTAGTAAGATACTTATTCTACAATAAATATTATTTTTCGTTTTATTAAGTGGTTTTTCTCTAATATTAGTTCATTGACATGAGTATTATAATTAAACTCCTTAAAATTACATAAGTAATTACTATAACAACATTAAAAATAGATGTAATACTTTTCTAAATAATTAATTGTATGGTTCTTCTAAATTATAAAATTACATTGTTCATTAAAATTTATATCATTTGTGTATAGTCAAAAAATTTTAAACGTAATACATCTATTATCTAATTTAAAATTTTAAATATTGTATATATGCATATAATATATAAATTTTTATTTGTCGCACAGGGACTAATAGTATTATTGACAATCATTAAAATGCATTTATAATTTGATCGTGCATTGTGGTGGGCAGCCTGAACATGTGTATTGTGATCGGTCAACATTCTAACACCATATTTTCCCAAATTTACTATTAATAGATATCCACACGAGTTCTCCTCTCAGCCTCAACAAATATAGCCCGTGGAACTCCCCCCTTTCCTCTTCCTAATCTAACTGCCTTAACGACCAATTCAAATTTCTAAAAAGAAATACAAAATGATAAAAGTTTATGCCAAAAAGACAACAAAAACAAACATTAGAGAACAAAGTGAACCAATCTAGTTGAATGGATAATTCATAATTGTTTCCCTTCACTCTCGGATTTGCATTGCTCACCAACCTCTTCCATTTCTCCTCCTTCCATCTACTTCTTCCGTTAACACAATTCCTCTTGAATTCTCACAACAACTAGGAGAATAAGAACCCTTCAAAAGTGCTTAACAACATCTCCATGGAAGCAGCAGACAAAGACAAACCCCTCCCAGAAATATCCCATTCTAAGGACGATGGAAAAAACAAAAATCACAACGATGACAAAATTACCACCAAGGACAACCACCCAGAAAAACCCGACTCCACGGGTCAAGATTCATCCAAAAAGCATGAAGAAACTCAGACCCCATCTCCCCACAAACCGCCTTCAGATGCCGCCGAACAACCCAAAACTGAAGCTGATGACAAACTGGAGATCAAAGATCCAATAGAAAAGCCAGACAAAGAGAACCCGAAACCCGAAGCAGAAGAAGAAAAGGAAGAAGAAAAGGAAGAAAAGGAAGAGGAATCTCCCCCTCCCCCGCCACCTCTAGATCCGAAAAAACTCTTTGAAGAAATCGATGAATACATCATCACTTTATCCGAATCCTCCAAAGACGACAAACAAACTGAACCCGTCCCTCCTCCTCCGGACGTCCCCCACGCGGTCCACCAATTCGCGACCCTCGTCGAAGCCAGAGTCAGAGACTACGACTCGGTCGAGAGCCCCGTGAGGTGGGCCCGCCTCACGGAGGAAGACTCTTCCTCATTCCTCGAGGTCGTCAACCGTCTCTCTTCCCTCTCGAACGCGCTCTCCCGTTTCTTGCCCGACAAGAAATACGCCGATGCCCTCAACCACGCCGGGGACATCCTTGAGCGCGTCATGTCGTACGTGGAGGAAGAATTCAAGTTGCTTCTACGAAATTACGATTTCGACCACCACCACATTGAAGCAAAGCCTAAGCAACCGCCTTCTCTACCATCGGAGGAAGTAGAACCAGAGCAGGACTCAGCAGTCGAACCAGATTCAAATCCGGATCCGGACCCCACCGAGGAAAAAGAGAACACCTTTTTCCCCGGATATCCAAAAGAGACGTTATCTCATCTGATCCAACTTTCCGAGGTAATGATTGGCGGCAGCCATGAAGCCGAGTGCCACCAAGTGTACCTTATGGCAAGGCGCACTGCATTGGAGGATGGACTCCACAAGCTCGGTATGGAAAAGTACAGCATAGACGAGGTCCAAAAAATGCAATGGGAGACGCTCGAGCAAGAGATTGCCACCTGGATCTCCACCCTCAAGCACTGCTCAGTCGTCCATTTTCCCGGCGAGAAGAATATGTCGTCCACAGTCTTCTCCCGCCACCCGCTCCTGTCCGAGACCCTGTTCTGCGCCCTGGCGCAGAACATAGTCAACCAGCTCCTCAACTTCGCAGGGGCCATCGCTCTAACCAAACGCGCGACCGAGAAGCTTTTCAAGTTCCTCGACATGTACGAGACCTTAAGGGACACCCTCCCCGCCGTCGAGAGCCTATTTCCGGAAGATCCAGCCGACGAGATCCGGACAGAGGGGTCCGTGATAAGAAACCGACTCGGCGAGGCCTCGATCTCGATCTTCGTCGAACTCGAAGGCTCCATAAAATCCGACTCCGGCAAAACCCCTGTCCCAGGCGGGGCTGTCCACCCACTGACTCGCTACACGATGAACTACCTCAAGTACGCGTGCGAGTACCGCGAGACCTTGGAACAAGTTTTCCGCGAGCACCAGAAGATCGAACGCGCAGACTCGTCCAACTTCAGCTACGACGCGTCGCAGGCTGCAGAAACCCAACCGAGCAACGAGGCCTCAGAGAGGTCCCCATTTCAGAACCAGATGGTGAAAGTGATGGAGCTTTTAGACTCGAACTTGGAGAGCAAGTCGAGGCTGTACAAGGACCACGCGCTGGGGTCGATCTTCATGATGAACAACGGGCGGTACATACTGCAGAAGGTTCGGGGTTCGGTGGAGATCAATGAGGTTTTGGGGGACACGTGGTGCAGGAGGAGGTCTTCGGATTTGAGGCAGTACCATAAGGTGTATCAGAGGGAGACTTGGGGGAGGCTTCTGGGTTGGCTGCATCCGGAAGGGCTGACGTCGAACGGGAAGGTGGCGAAGCCGGTGCTGAAAGAAAGGTTCAAGAGCTTTAATGCGATGTTTGATGAGATACAGCGGGCGCAAGGGGGATGGGTTGTGAGCGACGAGCAGCTGAGGTCGGAGCTGAGGGTGTCGATATCGAATATGGTGGTGCCGGCGTACAGGTCGTTTTTGGGGAGGTATAGCCAGGTGTTCACGGCGGGGAGGCAGACGGAGAAGTATGTTAAGTATCAGGCTGAGGATATTGAGAATATTGTGGACGAGCTGTTTAATGGGAATGCGGCGCCCGTGGGGAAGAGGAAGACGTGATGATGATGATGAGATTTGTGATGTGATCAGGAAATTAAGAGTTTTTTTTTTTTCATATTTTTTTTCATGTTTTTTGTTTTGTTTTGTTTTATGTCAGTGTTGTGTTTGTATAGTAAGAAAGGGCGGCTGCCTCTGAGTCAGAAGAGTTGGATCTTTTGTATGCAGGAAACACAAAAGTATCAGATTGGGTTTTAAGGATCGTTTGTTAGATTAATGAGGTGAGAGAGGAGGAGCTATAGGCGTATGTTGCAATATTGGGTCTACTTTATTTGTTTGTTAAATATAATGCTTCTAATCTGATGATGATCATAGTATATATGTGTGATGACTGATGATGAGAGCCCTGCTCTCGTTTTGTTGGTTTAACTTGTTAGTTTCAATTTGGATTTTTTTGGATTGTGTGTAAGGCCACTTTGTGCTGTGGATTAACTTTTCTTTTCTGATCGGTATTTGTGCTGTGGATTATTGATGTAATGGTAAGTGGTGTAGCATACACTGATAATCTATGATAGGTTTATACTAACTGGTAATACCCCTTTATAGCACTTAAGTGAAAGTAAAAATGAAATATGACAATCTTTTTAAAAAAAAATGAAATCTAGCCATTTTGGTAGATAAAAGTACATAATTTCTCTTAGGACATCTGTTTCATTTTTTCTCTTTCCTTTTTTTCCTCATTTCTTCCGCCCAAGCCCGCTCTGCACTTTCATTTTCTCCCAATTGCAAAAAATTGAAATTTCCATTTTCTTCCGCCCAAGCGAGTTCATTTTTACCGACTGCTGCTCATCTCTTCCGACGACTCTCTGTCTGTAATACCCCATATTTTAGTAAGTCAGTAAAAACTTATTTACCGCAGTAAAAATTATTTACCACAGTAAAAGTTATTTACCGCATTAAAAAGTTATAAGGTAAATCAGTAAGAGTGATTAATTTAGTATAGATAATACGTAAAGTATTTCAAGATTTAGTTAAATTTATAATCGAGAATAGTAGAGATTATAATAAAATCTTTGGTTTTCAATCGTAAATGAAATTTAAGTCCGATTTTGATTCCAAAAATTTTATTATTGATATCTAAATTTTATTAAGCATAAAAGTTTAGTTATTATGGAATTTTTAAAGAAAGAATAGCATAATTTTAATTAATTGTGAATTTTCACAATTTATGCTATTATTAGAAAAATAAAAGTGTTTATGTTATTTTTAAGCATGTTTTTCCTCATTAAATCATTTGTAAATTATTTATATATTAGAGATATTAACATAAGTTGAAAAAAAAAATTTAAAATTATTTTCTGATTTTATTAGAAAATTCGGAATTAAAAAGAAAAATAAAAAAATAAATTGTGGAAATTATTTTTATTTTGTAGAATCTTCATCATTTGAAGCATCTTAATTTTTATATTAATGATGACTCATTTTTATGTTATTTTATGCAATTGATTGAGCTGATAAATTTAATAATATTAGTCAACTAAATTACAAATTAAGATGGGACATTATTTAGCATATTTGTAGAAAAAATTAGTATTTTAAATGATATTTAATTCAATTTTGGTGCTATTTGTCCCCTAAAACTTTCCTATAAATAAGAGCATTCATCAATGGTAGAATTACACCACAAAAATTCAGATTTTTATGTTATAAGAAAAAGAAATAGCAAGAATCGAGTTTTTAAGAGAGAAACCGAGCAATTTCAAGAAATACTTGGAGCAAGTTTCTTTTCTTATAAATAGAAGAGGTATGTATTCTAACTTTGATATCATCAATTATAGCTAAGAGTTATAAGTGTTTATATATGATTTTGATATGTTATCATGTTTAGAAATTATAAATTTTATATATATATGTATATAAAATAAGATTATAAAGTAAGATTATTTAAAGTTCATGTTGCAGCTGCTTCTGTTTGTTGTTTTTGACCAAGCTATTAAATTCCAAAAATTATAAAAAATTTTATATGAGATCACCATTATGCTGAGAATAATACTGGAAAGTTTTAGATTATTTTAAGTTAAAATGAATTTTATAAAAATCATTGATTAAGGTGCTGTCCAGTGAAAAATCTGTGTAGTTATGATGACTTGTAGTATTTAATTACCCTATCTATTGATATTATTTTGAGTTGAAAATTTTATGGTCAATTCATATATTAGTTAAGAACTTCCAGTTTAAATTTTATCTTTATTGGACTTGTTTAGCATGAGATATAGCTTTTTAAAAGCAAGCATACAAGTTAGTTGAATATTTTGTTATATTTTCAACTTTGAAATAAAATATCTTAATATATGAGTATTATTTTAAAGTGAAATTTTTATGGTAACTTTATATATATGTGGAGGGTACATATGTTAAAGTTAAGTTTAAAATGAGATAATCATGAATAATTCTCATATAAGTGATGAGTAATTTGATGAAGTTTTGGTATAATATATTGAGGATACAATTTTATAAAAATTGTATTAAGTATGACATATTAATATCAAGAAAAGTTATGATTAAAAGATGATTATGGCTTGAGATTATTTTCACTTTCAAGTTAATTAAGTGAAAATTTAGTATAAGTCAATATCTAAAAATTGGGAGATATGATGTATGATGAATTAAGTAGTTGATCAAGTTAAATTAAGATAAGTTATAAATCATGTTGATGATGTTGGTAAAAGTAAGCATGTTTTAAGTTTAAATACTCAATCAAGTATAATGTGAAATATAGTTATTTTCACATTTGAGTTATGACATGCTAAGTATAATACCATATTGATGTTTATGAAGACATGATTAATATAAGGTTAAGTAATTGACCTTAAGTAAAAGTAAAAGAGAAGTTAAGTATAAACTTGAGAAAAAACAAGTTTAATGAATTTCTATAAGATTTGGATAAGTTAATAATTTTAAAAATCTTATTGAGTATACGAGCATAGTACTTAGTATATTTGTTTATATTTGATGTAACTTGCAGATACAGTACCAGTACAGCACTTATCGTATTTCAAATGATTTCAAAGACAAAAAAGGTGGGGACCCTGAACGGGTATCGCATTGAGTACGATATTGATGTCATATGGGATGAGGAGACCATCAGTTGTCTCATAGTATATCCTAAAGTTTAATATTATTACGCTTAGGATGAGGAGACATTAATTTGTTCTCAGAGATTATATCCTAAGTTCTGATGGAGGCCGCCTGAGTTGCCTTAGTAATATCCATCAGAGTGTGCACACTTATCCGATTAATTATCGGCAAGAGAAGAGAAAAGTTTAAGTTACCGATCAGATATCGGTTTATGATTATCCATATTCGTTACTCACCCCCATGAGTTTTAGTTTCAGGTAACAGGTCGAAGAGGAGGTGTGAGTGGAGCAGTGTTGGTGTGGATCGTGGACTCAGATGAAGACAAGCTTTGATGAGGACATTTATAACAGTCTGTATAATTAACCACGTTTTCAAGTATTTCCGCTATGCACATTAAGTAATGAACTTGCATTTTAATAAATTTCAGATTTCAAGTTTTTACCATTATAAGAAATATGATTATGGTATTTTAAATGCAAGTTTAAAAGAAATCTGTTTTATTTATGTATAAAGAAGTATTAGACAAAAGTTTAAAGATAAACGGCTTTTCAAGATGATGAGTTTGAGTAGCATCCCGAGTTAGTTGCAAAAGATTTCGGAAGAGTTAAAGTAATTTCGAAGTAAAAGTTGCGAAAAAGTTACTCTGATAAGCGGGGTGTTACAGGTGGTATCAGAGCTAGAGTTTTAAATGCTCTGTATACTAAATATTTAAGTTATGAAAGAGAAAGTTTTCAGAGAAATCAAAGTTTTTACAGAGAATCTCAAGAAAACCCGACCACACCACGCTCACACCTCATCAACTACCAGGTAAGTGCTATTAAAAGTTTTATACAAGTTTTTCAATATATTCAAATTTACTAAGTCTATGCTCAATAAGAATTCAGATATACGAACTCTAGAAATCAGTCTATATGTTCAATTATTAAAGTTTGAAATCTAGTTTATCAAGTTGACTAGATCAAGAAAGAAACTCGAACATTCTAAGTTAAGCCATCAGATTAAGATTTAAGTTAAGATTGACTATAAAAGTTGATAATGAGCCAAGTATAAAAAGTAACGTTATTTCAGTATATAATAGCCATAAGTCCGGGTAAATCATGGGGGTTTGAAATAAGAACCAAAAGCCGAATAGATCCTGGAGGCTTGAAACTGAAGCGTAGAAATAAAGTTTAAGAAAATAGTCAATGTTTATAAAGCAGAAGTTTTGATATCTTATCAGTTAGATATCATGAGTTAAAAGTGGCAAAATTTAAGATCAAGTTATAAGTTATTTTGTATTGGTACTTGTTAGTGGCAGTACAATTATACAAAATATTTTTCAGAAATCAATAAGTATAAGTTAAGGTATCGAAATATAATAGTCACATAGCCGGGTAAATTATAGAAACCTGAAATAAGGGTTATTAAGTCCGAATTACCTGGAGACTTGAAATCGAACCTTAAAAGATATCAGTATCACATTGCAGATACGAGATGATTATGTAAAATTCTAGAAAGAATTTTTGAAGTTAAGCAAGAATAATCTGGATATGTGAAAGTTAAAGACAATTTTTTTAATAAAGCAAAGACTGATAAGTTCTCATATATTGGGATCAAGTATTTATTTCCAATAATAATGATGAGTTTAAAGCCATAAGTGAGAAATGGCGAGAAGAAACAAGAAAGAGATTTAAGATTAACCGGAACTCTAGCACAAGCTAGGTGTTTTCGGAAAATTATCAATTTCTTTAAAGTTTAGTATAGCTATTTATTAATGGTTATACTGTTTAAGTTATATGGTTAGTGGTATTAGAATGCCGCAAGGCAAAGTTTCAAGACCACAACTGAGTAAAGTTTAAGAAGTATAGAATCTTGACTGAATCAAGAAGTTTTCTCAGTCCAGAAACAAGTAGTATTGATGTGTGATTCAAGTATATACGAGAAAA